GAACAGACCCCCATATATCGTCTTTCTTACCCAAACCTCGACTAGACTATTCCCGTCTCCTTTCCGACCCCTCTCTCACCGAACAAAACGCCTTATCCCGTCGAGCGCCTCTTCGACCCGACCATCTAGCCCACTTGTCTCGTCTCCGCGACACCCAACTTCTTCTCCTTCAGAAACTAGATTCCGTCCGAAACAAACAAAAAGATATCTCATCCATGATAAAAAACCAACTTGGGGATACATCAGAACTTGTCAGACAAGCTAAAAAGTTAAAAGCTAGGATACAAGAATATACGCTTAATCTATCTTCTACCGAAGATGAACTCCTCGAACTCGCCCTTCTCTTACCTAGCTTTTCTCACCCCGATTCTCCTATAGGTAGTGAAGAGAATGCAAGAGTGATAGAACAATTCGGACCTACCCCAATGGAGAGAGACGAGAAAAGAGATCATTTATATATTTGTGAGAAATTAGGTTGGTTGGATAATAAAGCTATGACTACAACGACAGGATCTTCTTGGCCTTTTTTAATTGGACAATTATCATTATTGGAACAAAGTTTAATTCAATATTCAATTTCGATAGCTGTCAAACATGGTTTCACACCTGTTTCAACACCTGATGTTGTGAAAGATGATTTAGCTTGGAGATGTGGTTTTCAACCGAGAGATCAAGCAGGTGTTCATCTACAAACTCAGCCTGATGCAGTGACTGAAGCATCTGAAGGACGCAGGGGTAAAGTTGAGAATAATGATAAGGAAGTAATTGGACAACCTGATCAGATATACAGACTTCAAACTCCTCCGACTTCCCCAGGGTTATGTTTAGCTGGAACGGCTGAAATCCCTTTGGCGGGGTTATTCGCTGATCGGATATTACAACTTGATCAACTCCCTAGGAAAGTGGTAGGTGTAGGGAAAGCTTACAGAGCTGAAGCAGGAGCAAGAGGGACTGATACAAGAGGATTGTATAGGGTACATTGGTTTACCAAAGTGGAGCTTTTTGCGGTCACAAAAGGGGCTGTGGAAGAAAGTGAAAGGATGATGGAAGAGATGAAAGAGGTGCAGAAGGAGGTAGCGAAGGGGTTAGGGTTGAGTGTGAGGTGAGTTAATCTTGAGTTCCTTCTCATCATATCCTTTTCACCAATCTTTTTCTACTTGTCGGACACTGGCCCGTCCATCGTCCGACGATTGGTCTCTCAATTCGTCAACGTTGGGATGCCCGTGTGTTGCAGAACATCAACTCCTGGCGGCGGTGTAACAAGCGTCTGTCTATGAAATGGAGTGAGTATGTGGGAGGAGAGAATATGGCTCTTCTCATGAAGAACAAAGCTCGTGAGACGGGTGCCAGAGTAGGATCATAGTAGACTGAGGAAGCAGGACTCATGGGATAGGTAGGGTACGGGGTTGCGGGGTTGTAGAACGATGGTGGAAAATCATCATTGGGAGTTAACAAAAACCAATCGATCAATGTTCTCATGCTCATATTTAGGATCCTCGACATGCCGACGGAAGAACTAGGAGCTAGTGCGTGTAGGAAATACGATATGGAAGCTTGGATGCCTGGAAGAGGTAAATGGGGGGAGGTGAGTTAAAATCTCTCATTCTTGATCGTTTCCTTCCTCTATGTCTATGAAATCCTTCTTCGGGTTGTTTCATTCATCTTTATTATTTGTCCTTTACATTCTCAC